ACAACAACCGCCATATAAGTCACTAACTATGTCACGTTCCCAAAGGAGAACAAGGTAAATGAAACACGAGATAATAGTTCCTTTATCTTTCAGTGTTTTCTCTGGTGATCTATCCTTTAGAATTTGATTTTGATATCGATGAGTTGCGATTAAGTAATCAATCGGATCAAAATTTTCAACGAAGTATTCTTTAAATATTGTCACGACAAGAATACCGAAAGACAAAAACCTTCCTTGCAACAATCACACATCAATAAAGAGCCTCCATTGGCTGTTTAGTTAAGTTGCTATATAACCCCAAGGAACTCGGTTTAGGAAAAGTTTATAATATAATCAAGTTATACGTCTATTTCTTTAAAACTGAAAACAAATCTTTAATATGTCTTTTCAAAAAAATGACTTATGGAAATGAAATAATATATCATAAGATGCTTATGCGTTTGAACGAGCTCTTTTCTAAGGAGCTACTTTAAGATAAATTAATTTGGAAAATACCCACCCAGAGGAACATCTGCTCTTGCTATTAAACGTTAAATGTCACCAGTGTTTTCCTTCCTTTTGTTATATAGGATGTCTGTAGTGTCTCTCAAGACACAAAGACATGTCGTTGTCACTGCAGCCAGTCGTTCTCTAAGTACGGTTATTCCTAGCATTGTAGTCAGCCTGTTGCAGAGTATGTATGACCCTGGTTATTGCCAGTAGTATCAAACATCTCACGTTTGTTCCGTTCTAATCCCCGAGCTTTGCCTTGATCTGTAATCACGTTTTAATTCATACACATTCGTTTGAGGACTAGATATCAATATATATAAACATTTCGGATAATGGCTCGTGCACCTCCCCAAATAGATTTTGACTTTCCTGAGCTTCCCCATCGCCTCCTCGGTTTTCGAAATTTATGCCCTTGGCATCTTAGAAGGAGGAAACAGCTGTTTGATGCAGTTGAATTCATTGTTTGGCTCTACTGTATCTAAATATAAAGTGTATCAAAAGGTGTTATTCATTTTGTGTGTGTTGTTTTGTACAGGCTACCAAATAAATTCTTAACGCGTATTTGAGTGTCTCATCATCTGTTTTTCTTATCACGACCTCGAGCTGTTTACGACATATAAAAGTATGTACGAGTAATGAGCTCCCAAGAGAAATTCCTAAAAGTGTGTTTACAGGTTGCAGTAGACGTTATATTAATTAGAGCTGGATAAAGAAATCGATTTAAATTGATTCAAACATATTTATTGCCCCAAAATTGAGCAGAGGATTAGGCACAAGTTATTTCAACTTATGACCGCCTTTTCCTCTAATACAATACATGATAAATATTTACATGATATTATTAACAAGGCATACATAATATATTTAACATTTAGTACATTTTACTTAAAATCTGTTGCTGGATTTGATAAAAATTTGCACGTGTCTGAATACTTCTGTATTGGTGGTTAGGGACAGATTTTCATTTCCAAATAAAAATAGATGTAAATTCACTTGATCTAAGTTCAACATGTTTATACTTTGAAAAAATGATATTCTTACCCTATCATAAAGCTTACATTCTAGGAAAAAGTGCCCAACATCCTCACAGTAATGTCCACAAGCATACGATGAGTTATCAACAATCTTAACACGGAACAAATCACTTTTCAAAGAGCTGCACTGATGTCTGAGTCTCGTATGTAATATATTTAGCTTACGTTCGCCAAAATTATAATAAGATGGAGGACAAGAATTAGCGTCATTAGATAAAGAAGATTTAAAAGCATTCAAAGATGGTAATGTTCTTATTAAATTGTCGAGCGAATTCCACAGACGTAAACTTGATAGCAGAAAAGAAGAGTTACTTAGGGAGAGTCTGAAAGAATTAATGATATAATCATGTTGGATCCGTAAATTATACTGATTGTTGTAACTCCACTGTGTTTGGCAAAAGGGCCGATAAATAAGAAGGGGTTAAATTATTTATTATTTTGTATAATACATTTAACTTACGTGTCTTCCTTCTCTCTGATAATGTTTCCAATCCCGTTTCAAAATATAGTGATTCATTACTAGCATACAAAGGTAAACCTGTTATAACTCGAGCCGCTTCTCTTTGTGCTTTCTCTAATTTCTCAGAATCCAAAACAGTGCAACCATCCCATACCTCACAAGCATATTCAAAAACAGGTAGAATGAAGGATTTATATATTTTTAACAGAGAATCTCTTTTTAACAATTATTTCAGTTTTCGTAAAACATTAATTTTTTTTCATACCGAGCTATATACTGCCTCAACATGGCTTCCCCACTTTCCATTTGAATTAAAATTTACTCCTAAGTGTCTGTGAACTTCTGTAAAACTTAAAATTTCTCTGTCAAAAAATAAATCTAGATCCCCGTCACTATTGACTGAATTTGAAATAAAAAGGACATCTGTTTTTAGAGGGTTAAAAGAAACCAACCAACGTTTAGCCCACTGGTTTAAAGATTCAAGGTCCCTGTTGAGAACAGTCTGTAATTCGTGACATGAAAAAGCAGAATGAAATAATGATGTATCGTCTGCAAATAACCTAGAGGCCGACTCAAGAACATCTGAAATATCATTGATATGTAACAAAAAGAGAAGCGGCCCGAGTATTGAGCCCTGAGGTACACCAGCGTCGATATTACCTAGACCGGAATAAGAATTTCCAATTAAAACTTTCTGTTAACGCTGGTGAAGATAATATGTGAACTAATTCAACAATGATCCCGAAATTCCATATGATTCCAATTTAGCTATCAGGCCCCTGTGCCAAACACGATCAAAAGCTTTAGATATATCACAAAAAATAATACAAGTGTGTTTTTTTCTTCTAAAGCAGTACAAATATTATGGTAAATTTCAATAAGTTGATAAACAGGAGAATGACTAGGCATAAAGCCGGACTGATAGTGATAAAACAAAATAAAGGATAAAGAAAGCTGTCCTACTAACGATATTACGGCTTAAGCCGAAAGGAATATACAAATATGAACAAAACACAATTTCCAAACGTTAATAACAATTTGGTACATACGTGTCTTAAATGACTGAATCTCAAGAGATAAATACAATTGATCATACACAAACAATGAGAAACAGGAACAGATGCGGGAAATTCATTCTTTAGTCAATATCCTTTCCCACAAAGTTTTTTCGCAACTTTTTATTCTATGTCACTTTGTCTAAATATAGAACATTTAACCAGGATCATGTATGATTTATGTTTCGATTAGAACGAAATGAGCTGATTCTAAAGGTATATTACTGTACCCACACAGTCATTCATATATACAAAAACATTTATATAACAAAGAATTCTTGAAAGCTTATTAAATAAATTGATGAAGGGACATAATATATCCAAATATTTAATACTTAATATCTGAAGGTCAGAATACAAGGATACCAGGATACGAAAGGCAATATGGAGAATAGTAACCTTTTCCTGCTTCAGCAGCGACAATCACATTAAAATCCATGCAAGCAATGAGTTGTCATGGACAAAGGACGCTACGGGCTTATGTCATGAAGCTTAGGAAGCGACTGTGAATGTCAAAATACACTAACCTAAAGCACCAAAATATCTCTCTAATTCCATATTCATGCTTCTTAACCAAATCTCAGGGGATTCAACGAATGTAGATTGTAAATCTAGACAAAACCTAAGAATGTGGGTTATTGTGTATTAAAGTGATCCCTGAGCAAGACTTTAGCTAACATGGCGTACAAAAATGGAACTGGAACAATGCAGGTTGAAGATCTTACGTTACAGTGCATGTGAACCGCTCTGTTAGGTCACTCCGGGTCCTCATAGGAATTTTATCCTCTATGTTTCTACGTGAGAACTGTCTTAGAATTTAAACGATCTATTTACAACAATCATAGCATTAGGTTAAGAAAATAACGTTTATCAATGATCCGACACACAGTGTACAACAATTGAATATTGTGAAAGATACAGCAATTAAACAGCTATTTGACTGACGTATTTCCATGTTTTTAAAACAACGATTATTACTTAAAATATTACTTTACAAAAACAAATCTGTCACAATTCATAGTATTCAAGATAAAGATAAGAATATTCAATGTCTCCGATAATCAAATTTACCTGCTTTTTTTTCTATTGTATCACCGCCAGGTTCTTGCTCAGTATAGTAAACAATAATTAATGGTTTTCCTTCATACAAGCAATGCATATTCAAACCGTCTTCCAAACCTTTCAAATTTTGCCCTACTTCCATTTCTTTTCTTCGTCGCGTCGTGACACTGTATACTAGCACTTCAGAAATGAAATAAATGCATTTTGAAGAATGCGAAAGTGTACGTGATAAGTAATAACATTCTTGTCATACGACTTTTCTCCCTTCAATTGAAACCTTTTATTTGATTTTATCTACTATACATACTATCAAAAGCCATTCAAATATGAAGGAGTGCATTCGTTTTCGCAAAGTAAAGATACGATTGTGAACCAATGCTTGTCGAGAGCATATCTAATGGGAAAGTCTTATAATTGGTATGATTGATGGTCTGGTTGATGATATATTTGTTTACATTTGTTTGACGAAATCGTTCTATAGACTGTTCGTATATCTTTGGGACGCCGTTTTATTATCTGATTCTGATTTCATATGCCTCTGCTATACCTAAATTTGGTATGATAGTGATTCTAACACAGGACTAGCATGGGTTGATGAAGACTATGGGATGGCTTATTTGTCACCTTGATGGTCTGATTGAAAAGTATTCCAATTTAGACCTCGATTTACTTGGCGGTTATCAATAAAATACAAGTAGATGACGCTTGCCCTTCTGGAATTCCTGGTTACTTTCTCCGTGATTTTTTTTCACGTTTTGTTCTACTGTCATCGATTCACTGTGTGCTTTAACATTTATACGGCGAAGCACGAGTTCCATTCACGGTTACTTTGTAGCTTTGTAGGAGAATCAGGGACATTTACAATAGGAAAGACAATGTCGGCGTGAAAAAACATACCTGATTCTCCAGCAGAATCGTGTAACCGTATATAGAACGCGTGCTTTGTTGTATAAATGTCCACGCGTGTCTCCGCATGCTAATATGTAACAGTCATGTGTTGAACAAAGTGAGCAAATGTCACTGTACTAATGACCTGTAAAATACCATGAATAACAATATAAAGTAATCGATATCAACCTAAATGGCTCAAACTACGCTAATGGGCGATGGGAAAATATGTCACTTCCGGTCAAATTGTATATATGGATTGTGGTTGACATTGAGTCAAGCGGATTCTAATTGGCGCGAATAGTGTCATGGTCGCTTAGCTACACAGTTAAACGTTAATAGGCTGTCACTAAAAAATGGAAATGATACTAAAGGTGGTTTTTATTTTTTCATATCTATTTCAGTTTTTAGAGATTTTTCAGCTCAGCACACTTTGTCATTGTCTATTACTGATCTTTATTTTGTACAGCCACTTCAGATATTTGTCATAATGTGCCTTATCGCTTCAAACACTGGTAATGTTCAAATTCGCCTGAGACTCGTTAGCGAAAGAACAACACGCCAGGCACTGGTCAACATGAGTTATGTAGGGGCGGACATATATAATTAACACCCCACCCCCACCCACTTACATATGGTATGGACATAAATACGGACATGCCAGGTACTGGTCAGTGTTAGAAAAAAACACGTCGGGCACTGACCAACATATGCACAGACATGTTAAACAGTGGTCAGTGTAAGCAAAGACACTCCAGCCATTGGTCAACATATCAAAGACGTTGACAACTAGTCACTTTAGTTCCAGCCTTACAAACAGCCGTGAAATGTGTGATGGACTCACTTTGTGTAGGTGCCGCTAAGTTATGTATTCCCAATGGCACAATCACCCTGGATTTTGTTCAATACAATTCAAATTGTCCTTTTTATGTATTTTCTACATTCAAAAATCATATTACAAGAGTTCGGCTCTAATTCGTAGCTTGTTCATCTCCCACAAGAATACACATCTACGTATGCATTGGTGTGAGAGAGCTATGACAAACACTTTAACAGCTTACAGCATCGCAACATACGACAGACTAAATAAGTTGCATTTTGTCACCTATTATTTATAAAAGTAAAGTTTAATTTAATTGCTGGTGGGTGGGGTGAGGGGGTCTTTCTTTTGAAATGGGGGTTGGGAGGGTTGTTGTTGTGTGTTGTGGTTTTCTTTAGATACACCACTTGAGGGGAATACGGCATATTAATCTTGGCTTTGAAACTACATAAAGTTACTAATAACTGGTGATGAAAAGGTCTTTGTGGTAATTATATAATTTCTGTATCATATCTAAAGAGTAAGGTAGTTTCATGTTGAGATGGTCTTTATAGTAAGGTAGTCTCATGTTAAGATGGTCTTTATAGTAAGGTAGTTTCATGTTGAGATGGTCTTTATAGTAAGGTAGTCTCATGTTGAGATGGTCTTTACATTAAGGTAGTTTCATGTTGAGATGGTCTTTATAGTAAGGTAGTCTCATTTTAAGATGGTCTTTATAGTAAGGTAGTTTCATGTTGAGATGGTCTTTATAGTAAGGTAGTCTCATGTTAAGATGGTCTTTATAGTGAGGTAGGCTCATGTTGAGATGGTCTTTATGGTAAGGTAGTCTCATGTTGAGATGGCCTTTATAGTGAGGTAGGCTCATGTTGAGATGGTCTTTATAGTAAGGTAGTTTCATGTTGAGATGGTCTTTATAGTAAGGTAGTTTCATGTTGAGATGGTCTTTATGGTAAGGTAGTCTCATGTTGAGATGGTCTTTATGGTAAGGTAGGCTCATGTTGAGATGGTCTTTATGGTAAGGTAGACTCATGTTGAGATGGTCTTTATAGTAAGATAGTTTCATATTGAAATGGTCTTTATAGTAAGGTAGTCTGATGTTGAGATGGTCTTTATAGTAAGGTAGTCTCATGTTGGCATGGTCTTTATAGTAAGGTAGTCTCATGTTGAGATGTTTTTATAGATTTACCAGTAGTAAGAGAATATCAGTTGACGAAACCTATAGACATGTTGAGTAGTATCTTTACCAAAATTTTCTTGTAAATTCATACTCTCTTTCAAACAACTGCAATATTCACAACTTACAGAATGAAGGTACCATGTGTTATTCCCTGTACTCACAAGTACAAATAAGAACAGAATACAACTTAGTAGCGATAATCAACGATATGTATGGTTGCTCGTTGTTGTTGTTTATGTCAGTCAAAGACCAACTTTTGAAACGTACTTGCATCCGCTTTGTAATATTCGATTGTGTTGTCGTTGTCAATTTTAACAAGTTGAGCAGTTCGGGGACTTTGGAAGCGGTTCTAAACAACCGACATGAAATAGCAGATAGCAAATACAGAAATCACACACAAAGATGGGGAAGATATCCACAAAAATCGCCTCCTCTGCCGATCTACTTCATAATTCATTATACGTTTAGGGGTAAGTCTAATAGACTGTTAATATTTCGTGACAGTTGCACAGATATAGCGCTAACACACCTCCTCCTCGTTCCACAGTCAGGCCCATAGAGACCAACAGATCATTTTCTGACCGGTATCGGTATCATTGACAATCCTACAAGAGAAATTCTTTTTGTCGTGGCACGACAACGCAGCATGTGAGATGGTCTCACTGATATTTTTATCTTCATTCTGCAATATGATTCAAATATTACACCACAATTAGGGATATTTCCCCGCGGACTCTTCACTGTAAGGCGCCACATGTGGTAGGGTATAGTATTATTAGTGACTACCATTAAATGTGGCGGCTTTATGTCGATGATGTGAATGCGTAGATACCAGGTGTCAGTAAGCTGCATAAGGAACGAAACCTGACTACTAGATATTACGATCTGTCTTTTACAAGGAAATGTCATTGCTTCTTTAGCTTTTCATTGCAGCTGTTTCAGCAAGGTTTTACTTGTTGGCAAGTATTTTAAATGCCAACCAAATAAAACAAAATTAAATCCATTTTTAAAATTGACAGCCAGTAGTTCATTTTTATTCCCTGCTGAACAAATCGTAATTCAAAACAAAAACTTTAAAACGTTTAAAACAGTTACATGGCACCTATATTGTAAAGCTTGTGTAACTTGTAGAACGTTGCAGCATAGAAACCGTACGATTACAAGTATGCAAGGAGAACATGTGCAAGACGTGGCGGTTACGGGTGACGCGAGGAAAGCAATATAGCGATATCTGACAAAATGTTTAAAAAAGTCAGTATTGCTGAGACAATTTATATATTCCTGAAAATTTCCTGAGAATATGATATTTAAGAAACTATTATCTGATAAGGAATAAACGGAAGAAAAACGCAATGTCGTATACCTGGTAATTTTTGCTGGTTAAATTTTTCGAAACCCTCTAGTACAGTCTTGTAATGTTTTCTATATGGCTGTCCACAACCCTCTAGTACAGTCTTGTAATGTTTTCTATATGACCGTCTACAACCCTCTAATACAGTCTTGTAATGTTTTCTATATGGCTGTCCACGTCCCTCTAGTACAGTCTTGTAATGTTTTCTATATGACCGTCCACAACCCTCTAGTACAGTCTTGTAATGTTTTCTATATGACCGTCCACAACCATCTAGTACAGTCTTGTAATGTTTTCTATATGGCCGTCCACATCCCTCTAGTACAGTCTTGTAATGTCTTCTATATGACCGTCCACAACCCTCTAGTACAGTCTTGTAATGTCTTCTATATGACCGTCCACAACCTTCTAGTACAGTCTTGTAACGTTTTCTATATGGCCGTCCACAACCCTCTAGTACAGTCTTGTAATGTTTTCTATATGGCCGTTCACCATACATTAGAAAGGTTTTCTATCTCAAAGTTCACTATCCTCCAATAAGGTCGTATTTCTGAACATTCACCGCCTTGTGCTGTATTGTTATTTTACCTAGCTGTCCACCACTCTGCAATATGGTCTTCCATCTTCCACCAAACAAAATAAAAGCAAACAAACATGACTTTGAGTATTTAATGAGACCGTCATAGTACTTTAAAGTTTCAATTTTGAGAATGTTTTCTTTTGTTACATATATACATATATAAACATCTGTTAAGATATATAGGATTTAAAAGTAGTTTTCATTTCATGAGATTTATTTTTTTTCGAACCTTGTTGAGCAAAAGCTTAAACTTCTAGATGAATTGAAAACAAAACAAAGATACTTTTATCATCGAAATAAGAAAAGTTAGATTTTAAGCGGCTGTAACTGAAGAAGCCATATTAGGATACCATTTTCGATTCAAGACATAACGTCACAATCTCTGCCAGAGTGCATTGCGGTACCTCCATGACAGTGAGACTGTTTAGAAACGATAACTCTGGTAAAGATTGATGATGTCACTGTCCGTATGACATTACAACCGATTTCTGACTGAGGCGCGGCCAATGAAAAACATTCTAGGGTATATTGCCCTAGAGATATTTACACAAAAACATAACATGGTCGAATTCATTGGATAACAGACAAAGCATGTGACAGATTTACTTCCCTGGTGTGATATACAAAGTCTGTGTTAGTATATAGGAAAGCAGTGGTACAAGCATTCTTAGCTTTTTTTACTAACTAGCTCACAGACTCTGGTCATTTGTAAACGTGTATGTTTTACAGGCAAGTAAAAAAGTGTCTACAGTAAACGTCTTGGTTAGTCCATAATCCAGTTTGTGGATAGAAGTATCCATTTTCTCAGTGAGTAGAATACAAAGCAATGTTTGAAACAAATGTAAGCTTGTAGTATACCTTAACAACGACGCTGAAGTTTCACCTGTCTCTTCAGATTATTGAAGCTGGTGGTCGTCATGATTTAGCTGTTCTTGAAACGTAAACGAACATTTCTTGCCATGTTTCTCGGCAGTTAAAGAATTGAGCGTACTTTGATATTAAACCCTATGGACACCCCCTTCTATAATTATAGAAATATAACAATGAGATTCCAACTATAAACATGTTCGTTTATTTGCCTTATCATTTCTTGAGTTTGGAAGCAGTTATTCACAGATACACATCAGCTCCGACATAAAACCTTGAAATATCCAAGTCT